CTGGCTTTATATGCATTTGTTCTTAAAGCTTGGTCTTGTGCAGCCAGAATTAGCCCCTCAATCACTTTCTTCAACTTTCCTGCTTTTTTTTTATTATCATTATTATCATTATTATCATTATCATCATTATCGTTGTCGTTGTCGTTGTCGTTGTCGTTGTTATTATTATTATTTTGCTTTCAAGTCCAACCACTTGAAACAAACATTATTTGTTTGAGTCCAACCACTCCAACAAACATTATTTGTTGGAAGGACATGCCCATGGCTACTTGTGAGCCAACAATGATATAGTTGTCTGACTCTGTCTTATGACTAGATATGACTATATGGTTTTCTATTACTGCATATTTTAGTAATGAGAACAACTTGTACATATTTTCATGAATGAAATTGATAATATTAAGTTTTATTCCTAATACTTCAACATGATAGAAGAAAAGATGAATTCCTTTTTTTATGTGGGAAGGAAGCACACAGAATATGTGTTTTATGTTATTATTAAAATAAAAGGTTATATTATTATTATATTTTTATTTCATTAAATAGCATTATTACATTCTGTCTAATAAAATAAGACAGAAAAACTTTCCACACTGGATTGTGACTACATTAAAATAACCAGTTTTGCAGTTAAACATTTAGAAACCTGAAACCAGTTCTTTAAAATTAGTGAAGCCCACACTGAAATGTTTATTTTAGCTTTATATTATAAAATTCAGGTCTGGGGTGAATTTTTCAAATCTCATAATCTCTTGTCAAAATGTGCTCTGAAGTTTCCCTTGCTTTCTTATGGAACACATCATGACATTTCCTATTCATTCATGTGCTCCAGTACACACAGGGAATACAGAATTGTGTGACTGTAATGCTTTGTATGGTTTAAAAACATAGGGAAAAAGTATTTCCGCTATTATGATTTGGTGGGGAAAAAATTACAACTTCCTCCCAACCCTGAACATTTCATTTCATTTCATTTCATTTACTTTTGATATTTTTCATTTGTTTTTCAGTATCCGTACTATTAAAAATTATTAATTTCACACAATTAGCCCAAGCTTGGTAATTTTAACTCAATGACAGGTACGTTGTACTATAAAGCAGGTGAAAGCTTTAAAAATAGATGAATAGATAATAAAAATGATGAAGCTTGATCAGATGTGGAAGACTCTTATAATCCATATGTATGTTGGCATTAAAGCAAAAGTTGTATAGATTACATAATAACAGCATAAAATCCAGAGAACAGTTGAAAACTCAAAGTATTTAACAAAAGGGTCAGCACAGTCACAAGATTAAGAAATAGTTCAAGAATTTTCATGGAATGTAATGCTGAGAAAGAATATAAAGAATATTAAGCTGCGGCAATCATTTTAGGTGTAACAGAGAAGTTGGAAGATGGAATAGGCAATGTTTTTGTGGTAATTTAGTCCATGTTACAGCTCTGAGTAATGCTTAGGGAATGTGATAGGAACATACTGGAAATGCATCAAGCAAGCTCTAAATTTTCTTTACATTCTGTACTGAAGTATGAACATTCTCACCAGGGTTAGTATCTGTTGGGGCGGGGAGGAGGTAGGTTTCCAGAAATTGTTGCTAGGGAAATTTTAAGCAAAGATAGGTGGCAAAAGGGTGTGTTTGTAAGGTAAAGTATAGATGGTAGATGAGAAAGTTGGCTGAAGGTAGTAGGTGAACTGTGTGCCTTATGGAAAGTTGGCACAGGAGGGAATAGAAGCATTTTGTTTAATCTGGCCATCTGGAGATTAAATTTCTTGTTATTTTATTATGCCACACTGCTGTTTAATAACTCTTCTTACCAGCTGCTGTTATAGTGATTTTACAAGGGAGCTGAATATATATTTTCTTTCCTTTGCCACCTACCAGAGGAATGGTATTTAAGTGTGTGCATGTGTGCTGTGTTTTAATAGACTTTGTTATTTTGTATCTGTGCCTGGAATTATTTGAAGCCAGAATCCTAGAGTGGGAAGAGACTATGGAGGTCTGCTAGTCTAACCTTCTGACCAATGTAGGAATCCTCAGACCATCCCAGACAAATGGCTGTTCAATCTTTTCTTGAAAATGTCCACTGATGGAACATCCACAACTTCAAGAGGCAGGCTTAATGGCTCATACTCAGAAAACTCCTCCTTATTTCAAGTTTGGATCTGTTAAGCTTCCACCAGTTGGTTCTTGTCTTACCCTTGGATGCTATGGAGAATAAGTCCACACCTTCTGCCCTGCGGCATCGCTTCATGTACTGGAAGACTGCTATTATGTCTCCTCTTAGCCTTTTTTTCTGCAGGCTGAACATATCAAGTTCCTTTAACCATTCTTTGTAGGATTTGGCCACCAAGCCCCTAACCATCTTTGTTTCTGTTCTCTGTATTCTTTCCAGTTCCTCAGTGCCCTCTTTGTATTGTGGCAATGAGAACTGGACATAGTATTCCAGCTGCTTTCTGATAAGTGCAGCATAGAGCACTACTATCACTTATGGTGATCCTGACACTAAACTTCTGTAGAAGAAGTCCAAAACTAAACTGTCTCCTTTGGCTGTTGTGGCACACTGAAGTTATAGGCAAACAATATTTTCAGGAACCTAAGTGAAACTGCACCAAGAAGGCACTGTAAAGTAAAATCTTTTCTTCAAATTATTTGAGATAAAATAAAAGTTAAATTGCATCTAATAATTTGGCTGCAGGAGTTAGGGGTGGGAGGCACAGTTTTGTGTTGGTTCATCTCCTTTCTCCAAGGCCAGTCTCAACTGGTGTTGATAGGAAGTGAGAAGTCCAGCCTGCAGCCCCTACTTGTGGGGTGCCTGAGGAACCATCTCATCCTGGTTACATCAGCCCATCCCACCTGGTCTGGCAGGAAGGGCACATTATGGACCCCATCGGCTAAAGTATTTCAATTAGCAAGGTCTAGGAACAGAACCTTTTGGCCACCTCCCCCACCCTATGGAATATCTTGCCCCCTGAGGTGAGATTGGCCCCCACTCTTCTGCCCTTCCAGGAGAGCGTTAAGACCTGGCTCTGCCAACTAGCTTGGGGATCCAATGGGGGTTTGCAGCACTGGGGGTGGTTGGTGACTTGAGGAAACTCTCTCTGTCTTTTAACTTTGTATATTTTTGTTTTTTATCACTTTTTTATTTATAAGCCGCCTAGAGTCACTTATACAGTTTATAAAATCGTCACTTTATGATTAATAAAATAAATAAATACATTTACCAAAGGTAATCCTAAATGAGAATTGACACATATGAGGTAAAAAGAAAAACTCTTTGAAAATCCTTCACAGATGTTACATAACATCTGTAAAATTAAAACACTGCAGAAAATATATCTGTATCTGTTGAGGATTAGCACTTACTTACTGTTCCGTTGTATGTCTGGGGTTTAATAGAAACCAGTGTACAGAAATACAGCAGTGAAGGCCCCTTAAACGCAGAATTTTGTTAAGAAATATAATCTATTATCAAGGTAGGAATTGCCTGCCATTTAAATTTTTACTTGTCTTTAGATAATAAACACTCCCCCTCCCCATTTTTCCATTAACTTCAAGCACTGAAACCTATTTATAGAGTGTTTTTCCCTCTGGTTCTAAACATTAGTTATGCATTCCATTAATACATTACTTCCCACATTGTCCTCAAATTGAACTTTGAGATACAAAGGACATTTTGTTATACTTAATTGTTTTCTTTGTATGATTTTATAACCCACGTTTTGTATCTGTTACTTCTACCTTAAGTGTTGATTGCAATAAGGCCACCACCTAAGCATAAAAACATCTATGTTAAATGGAAAACGCAGCTGGAAAGCATGTAAAAATATATACGTGGCTTTGGATTGTATTAATAATTAAGAATTTGACCATGTTACTGAAATTTGGTCAATATAGTTTAAGGTTTAGGGGGAAAAAATCAGATTAATAATAGAAAATAATAAGGGATTTAGGCACAATAAAAGCTTTTTGCAGTGACTTTCACTGAGTGAAACCAACTCAGTTGGTGTAGTTGCACCAACTACAATAAACAGAAGGCTGTAGAAAATAAAAAGCATTATTTTTTTCCCAAAAATGAAGAGTTACTTCAATAATTATACATTATTTTCCTTAATCGTTTAAAAAGCATTGATTTGAAATATTGGTATCCTGTCCTTTTCCAGGCAGAGGTAATTCCCTGAGGCTTAGAAGTGCCATACTGTACCCAGTACAGAGGATTAACGTAGCAAGCAGCGTTTCCCTGCACCTTCAGAGATCATATAATTTTACCTCGCAATATAGGCTGGGTTAGAAGTCAAAGTAAAACCATAACTGATTCCCAAAGAAACTTCTTGAACAGCAGTTCCTGCTAGCAATCTGACTTTGAAAGTGAGTCTGTGATTCAGTATAAATCAAAAGTTTCACTAGCATCTCAAACACTTAGAACATATTCACTGGATTCCAGCCTATATTTACATGGTGGCTTAATAGTACACACCTCAATTTTAACATTAGAGATAATATGTAAAGTAAGCTGCCTACATATTGGATACTTGGGAGAAACTTGCTCATCTCTTTTCACCACTAAAAATGTGCTACTGAGTAATTCATTTAAGTTTAGTCATAGTAGCTAAACAGAGTTGGTTTTATTCTTTAGGTATGAGTACAGAGATTTGCTGTTCTACATCTGATGACTCCTATTTTTACTTTGTTTTTCTCTATTTTACAAGTAGATAAGGAACTAATAATAAAAAGCAATTTAGTATCACATTGCTTTGGTGAAAGACACATCTGTGGGTGGAATCCAAATAATTTCACTCTGCTGATGAGAAGGCCTTTGTTAACTGAATGGTACAATTTCTTGCCTCTTTCCTGAAACCTTTAAGTGGCAGTTAGGTTAGAAGGATTTGGTAAGCCAAAAACTCTCCCTAATCTTTTTCAACTGACCAAACTGTTCTGTTTCAGAAGATCTCCAGAATATGCATTTTAAACACTAATATTATCAAATAGATAGTAATTTATCAGTTTTAAAAGTTGGGAGAATAAGAAAATTCCCAAATATCCCTTTCTATAAATGAGGGAGGTTACTCTTATTTTTCAAAAGGAAGTTGTCCTTTTTGGATCTTCAAAAATATTGTCACTGAGTTTTTGTAACTCATACATGTATTTCAGTTTGATTTATTAATTGATGGATAACTGAAAACCCATTTAATCAAAAATTTAAACATTTTTAGGAATCTTATTTATTTGCATTCAGGAAAAAATATTGCCAAAAAATTTTAAACACTTATAATTGTGTTACTATCAATTTTTTTTTTTTTTAGTTTTCAGCAAAAGACAGCATGTTTTTTCAAGCCCCCAAATGTCAGATGAGATTTGCCATATCAGATTCCATACCAGGTATACCACTATCATCCATTGAACTATAGTTTCAAATTTGTTTCATTGAAACGGTGGAATTATTCTTCAGTTAGGAGCTTAAGGCTTATCTCTTTCATTTAGTTTTAATTTTAAGGTAAGACCTTCTGAAGATTGAATCTATTTGAAACAAAGTGATTAAATCTCCAATCAAAACATAGCTATCCCAATTTATTCCACCCATACCCTTTGTTATATATCAAAAGATACTGATTGATTAGACTAAAAACTATCTCACATAAATAAACATCTTTCTCTCCTTAATATCTATTTTAGGCTGATATTTCTCTGAGCAAATGTTCATTGTAAGGCAAAATACAGTTATTGTCTTACACTTAAATCCATGGGATTCCGAAGTACAATTGTTCTCAATACTAGCCACATTTGCAGTACAATTTATTTTTTATTACAATCTTGTAATTCTGTGCCACTTTATTTGAAAGACATAACTTTATATCATGTAGAATAGGCTGCCACATGAAGTGGTGAGTCCTCCTTTACCAGAGATCTTCAAAGGAAATTGGATGACCTCCTGTCAGAGATCCTGTAGTAGATTCTGCACTAAGCTTGGAGTAAATGACCTTTAAAATTTCTTCCAACCCTATGACTGAATAGAATGGTTAGAAATCTCTAAAATCCAATGTGTGGCACTGATTCTGATAAAAGCTGTTACACCTCATGCAGAAAGGCACTAAGTAGACCAGTATTTGTTCAAATTCAACTACATTTTCATAAACAAAATTCTTACTAGTGTGAAATTTAAACTGAATGCTTCATTGATAACAACTAATAAACTGGTGAATTAAAAGCAATGAACACTAAACATGGAAATGCTTCATCTTCAATTACCGAAAATAATTTTCCACAGGCAAAACCTTTTTTTAAGATTGCTTTTTTCTCACTGTCTCCTATACATTCAATTTTTTTTTCTAGCAGTAACAAATGAACCCACTTTGGAAGTTCTCCCATCCAAAACATCTAAAACTCTTGACTGGCCAAGGGCAACACTGGGTAAAGTTATTTTTCACTGGAAATGGTTATTCTGAATTTTCTATTTCATTAGAAACATTTTCATTCCATGTGAATTAATTTCTTCCAGAATACAATAGCCATTCTCTCAGTACTAATCTTTCTCTATTTCTGTCTTTTTCAAAGCCTCTAAAGAGGCATTGAAAATTATGGTTCATAATTGTATTTTAAATTTTAGGTATGTATGGATTTCTTTTTTTATTATCCATCATTTTTATCTAGAACGGTCTTTGTGAGTAGTTACCACTTGTTTTGGAAACATTAACATCTTAAATTCTATACTGTATAACTTGCATTACTTCTCCATCATTTTAATCAGCTTGCTGGTCCATTTCATACTGAATTTCTTCATCATTGCAAGATCCTTGCATGTGCGGTTTTTTATATGAGATGTTTATAAATTAATCTTGAACAATTTTTAATATAAAATTGATGTTCTTTTCAGCCCCATCTGAAACACCATTTACTACATTGAAATGGAAGCCTTCTGCCACTGCAGAAGGATGGCATGAGAAAACTGGTAATTAAACATCTTTAAGCATACATTTATGTATACAGATACCATTTATTTATGAATCACCATAACATAAATTTACATTTTTGTTTCATTGAACTTGAATATGACCAGAAAGTCATCATATGTAACCTTTTCATAATTAATACACTCATTTCTAATAATTTTTATTTTCAGGATTTTGGGAACCACTTATTTTATATTGATTTAAACTTACACGTGAAAAGGAATTCCAAGCTATGTGGCATTTTTGCATCTTATACAACCACCTGGAGAAGGCATGCGGGTTTACCCCTCTTTCTCTTTGTGCTTATGTTGAAAAGGAAAAGCATAAATGTCAGTTTGGCACCTGAGAAATTATGCAAATATTTTTTATATGCTGACTCTTTGGTGAATTATAAAACTTCTGTCTTATGTATATATTGTAAGATTTGCCCCGTTCGACAGAGAAACTCTCGTGACACGTGTGGTTCACAAAGAAG